GTGATGCAAAAAGATAGGCAAGGGCCAGATCACACAGGGCCTTGTAGATGATGTCAGAGTTGGGCTTTTGTTCCAAGAAGTCTTGGAAGGGTCTTAAGCAGGGAAATGATATAAACATTTACGTTTAGAAGATCACAGTGTGAAAAATGAAATGAAGTGAGGCAAAAACTGACACATAAGGAGACAAGTTCAGGAGGCTGTCGCAGTGGCCCAGGTGAGGGCAAACGGTGGTCTGGAATGGGGCGGAGGGCGGGGAGAGGAATGACAGAGTCATGAGATATTCAGGAGAACTAACAGGATTGGCTGAGGATTGGCTGTGGGATGTGGGGGTGAGGTGTCCAGGAGAACTTCCAGCTTTCCAGCTTGAGCAAGTGGGTGGATGGTGGTGGCAGAGAAAAGCTGGGGACATTCGAGGCAGAGCAGGTGCCTGCAGGCAGAGCTGGGGACCTAGGTTTGGACTTGAGGTTAACTGACACATCTAAATGTGGCCCAGGAAGCATTTATACCTACACATCTGGAGCCCAGAAGAGATCAAGTCAAGAGAGTAAAGGAGATGACCTGGTGGAATGTGCAACAAGGAAAAGAAAAGGGGCCTGGGCAGCTCTGAGAAATCGTAGCAGCAGCAGGGCTGGGGGCAGAGTGACCAGGAGCTCTGAACTTGGAAAACCAGAACCATGAAATCTAAAGGGTACTCCACTCAGCCCTGGGAGCATCTGGCTTTGGCCCCACCTTTCCTGGCCAAGCATAAGGCCTCGGCACAGGCACTTCCCAGCTGAGACAGCCCTCCCTTCCCCACAATACCTTCCTCGTTGGCAAATTCTGTTATCCTTCAGACTCAGCCCAGGGGTCCCTCCTCCTAGTCAAAGACTCCCCCGTTCTAGGCATGCGCTCTGCAGTCTGTCAGCCTGGGTTTGAATCTCAGCTTTGCCACTTGATGACCAGGAAACTTAACCTCACTGCCTTCATCTATACAACGGAGATAATAATAGTACCTACCTCATAGGGGTGTTTGAAGATGAACGTGTAAAGAGCTTAGCAGAGAACCTAGCACACAGTAAGCACTAAATAAATGTTACTATTATTAACATGCCACCCACCTTGGGGCAGTTAGTCACGTCCTCCATCTAATACCTCCTCCACTTGGGAACTATTTGCAGGTCTGTGTCCCTCCTTGCCTCGTCCTACCCCTACCCAATTTGTGGGACTATATGATATGCAGGCCCAGCGCTAAAATGCAGGACCCCTTGTTCAAAATTATTAAGAATTTCAAGATGGTGACAGCAGAATATTAAACCAAGTGTGGGATCCTTCTACGTGGAGGGTCCTGTGCAACCACAGATTCATGAAACCAGCCCTGTCCTCACCCCCAGCCAGCCCTGGGCCTGGGCCTGGACCAAGCAGGTGTCACCTCAATGCAATAGAGTAAAAATGCCAGCTGACAACTGAGAGTTTTGTGATTTCCATCTGGAATTTCATTGTATCCTTCCCATAGAGAGAGAACACCAATCCCATTTTATAGTCAAGGACATCGAGGTTCAGAGTCAGGGTATGCCTTTCAGCCGGAATGTGAACATAGCCCAGTTGGCTCCAAAGCCCTTCTGGTGCCCTCTGGCTCCGTAGGGAGGTCAGGGGAACCTGACCCAAAGGGATGAGCTTCGTCAACGAGGCCCAGAGAGAGGGAGCAGGAGGGACTGGGACTGGCCCCTTCCCTCCTGAGATGAGCCACACAAACAACAGCTCCCTGGGCACCAGGGCTCCTGCACAGGGAAGGGGGTAGGAGAGGACAAAAGGGCACCCCCGAGAAGCTTCTGTCTGAGGGCCGTAGACCCCAGCTCACACCCTCTAAAAATCAGACCCTGCCTCCTCTGCTTAAAATCATTTAGGGGCTGCCCTTGGCCCCAGGGTCATTCCCAAGTCTTTAGTACCCTTCTAGAGCAGGGAGTTCTGGCCTGGCTGTGCAATGCCCGCCCACTCCCTACCCTCTCCACTGCTGTCCTCCCCCACCACACCAGGCCTGTTCCCACCTTCACCAAGGCTATAGCACACACTGCTCCCTTTCCTCACCCCTGCTTTGCCTCTTTAATCCTTGTCACTCAGGTTCCCCGAATCCCTCCTTTCAACACACATCACCTGCTCTGGGCTGTTTCCTGGCTGGAATATAGGCTCCCGGAGGCAGGGGTGCCTGGCTCACAGAGCTTGGTACATCAGGTATCTGAATGCAACCCCTGTAATAGAGATGGGGGGCCCTACACTTTCTCCCCTTCTCTCCACTCCTCCCCAACCATCCTGTTCTTGTCCAGGCATCTTGAGCCCAAGATGTGAGGAGCCCAAACTTGCAAAGGAAAGAGGATTGTCGTACAGTATGCAGCCTCCACCTGCCAGCCCTGGGCTGGGTGCTGTAAGTCAGTTAGTACATTTAACCCTCAAGAACCTTTCGGGTGGGGGTGGGGCAGTCTGGGTGTAAACTGCTGTTCTCCAGAGGTGTCTGAGACCACCAGCCTGGAATAGTAACAGAGCCTGGAAGTGGAGGATGGGCCATGTGAACCGAGGTCTGTCTGTCACCCAAGTGCCTGGTGTCCTTTCTGTCCCTGTGACTCACTTTTCATGCCAGCTCACCTCCAACCAGAGAGCAGTTGCTTCTCACCCATGCCCTCAGTTCACACACACCCCAGGAAGCACAGCTCCTCTGTTGGGTCAGCAAAACACCAGTGGAGAGGCCAGAGCAGAAGTCACTCCTCCCCTGGGTCAACAAAATACCAGTGTGGGAGAAATACCCGCCCCAGGTCAGCCAAACACTAACGGGGGAAGACACCCCCATTGTCAGCACCCCCAGTCAGCAAAAGGCCAATGTGAGAGACACTTCCCCGTAGCCCCTCTACCTGGGCCCATGGCTAGGTGCACAGCTAGAGTCCTCCACGGTGGTGCTCCTGGGGTGTGTGTGTTGGGGGAAGGCAATAGAGTTGGGGCTGGTACTGCAGCTGGGGAGTGGGGCAGACTGGGGTGAGAGTTCTCACATGGCACTAATGAAATCAACACCCAGCCTGCCCCCCCCCCCCCCCCCTGTTCCCCAGGGACCCTCCAGGCTCTAGCTGATGCAATGCCCAGGCCAGATAATTGTTTTCTTCCCTCCTTAAAGGGCCAGCTGCTATCGCAGTTGCAGACATCACCCTGACCTCTGACAGACCCCACAGAGTTTAGCACCTGGTTAGGGATAGGGGGAACCCAGAAAAGAGCAGCTCAGCCCTGGGTTCTGCTGAGTAAAATTCAATTAATATCCAGAGGCCAGAAGTGTCTGTGAGCAAGAAGGGAAGGAAAAATAATAAGACAGAGACAGTGCTTGGCCCAGTAGAACACATGCCCTGAGGCAGGGACCTTGGTTCCTGCTGGGTCCTCAGCACCTGACTCCTGCCTGCCTGTCCTGTCAAGTCCTTGGCACAAGAGTTGCTCCTGAGTTCAGCAGTTATCTTACTGAGCTTCCCAGAGTTCCAGGCACTGTGCTAAGCAGCTTAAACCCACCATTTTATTTACTCCTCCCAGCAGACCTAGAAGGTGGGTCTGTTTTACTGAAAGAGACTCAGAGAAGGAAGTGATTTCCTGAATAGTACACAGCCAGAAAGTGGCACAGCCTGGGTTTGAAGCCAAGTTTGGCCAACTCTGGGCTTCATATCCTGCAGAGAGTCAGGTAGGTTTCACACTCCAGGGCTGGAGATCCCTAAGCCAGGTAACCTGGCACAGAGGGCAGAGAAGGTGTCTGTGAGTTCTAAATAGTCTCTGAAGGACATGATGTTTGGTTTAAACACAGGGTTCACAGACCCCTTCTTCAACCCCCCCCTACCCCCAGGAGAATGCCCCATTAGGTTGCCCACATACCCCCAGGGACAGTTGGCAACTGCTTGATTACAGACTAATTGGTGGCTGCCAGCAACTGTGGGGTTGTCTGGTTAACCCCTTGGTGACCAGGCCTAACCCAGAAAGGCCCTCTCCCCACCAATTCAGGCCCCAAACCCAAGGACCCTAGACTTAAGAAATCATGGGCAGAGGACAGGGCCCTCCTCTACACACTCAGACAACACCCCTGGAGCAGGGGTTGGACACTGACATTCACCTAAGCTCCCCAGACCCATAGGACCACATCAAACAGCCCCGAGGTGGTAGTGCCAGCCACCAGCCCTTGATCTCTGGCCTTGGGCATGGCATTGCCCACCCCATCTAGGACCACAGGAGCTATGGACCCCTTCTTGGGTTTCCAGGCCCAGGATACTGGGAAGAAACACACTCCTCAGGGTTGGGTTGTCCAGAGAAGGTGATGTGGGCATGGGTCCAGGTAGCCTGGAGGCCAGCCAGTGATGATACCTTCCCCTGAGTGAGAGGGTGCCCAGGTTGCTCACCAAGGGTCTTGCCAAGCTTGCCTGAACCCTGGACTCCTTCCTGTAGATTGACCAACTGCTTTTCCCAGCTTCCCAGAAGCCCCCTCTTCCCACCCTAGGGCTAGAGTGAGCACCACCCATTTTCTTTCATAGAGTGGGGGGCCCTCTAGGCACCATAATGGTGTCTCATTGGGAGGAAAGTGTGGCCGCTTCTCAACCAGGGCACAGGCAGGAGGGAGGAAGGCAGGCAGGCTGCCTTCCAGCTCCCTTTCCAGGAGGAATTTTAAGCACTTTCCAAAAATGCTATGCGAGGCAATGCTGTTGAAGACCAGGGCCCCAGATGCTCTGAGCTTTACCAAAAAACTCAAGACTCTAGAGCCCCATACCCCATTTTCCAGGCTTCCCCAAACACCTTACGTTCGCTTCTTACACCTTAGCCCCCACCCCAGAGCCATCACACACGCTGTGCTCATCCCACCCCCCTCGCCGGCTCCCGCCCCCTAGACCCTGCAAGCTCAGATCTCTACGTGGCGCCTCCCGGCCGGAGCCCCCCTCCCCTCCCCGGGTGGTCCCTCAGACCTCGCAGCCCTCTCCCCACGTCCATTCCCAGGCAAACAAGGCCTACCGACTTACCCGGGGTGGGGCCGGGGTCCATACAGGGAGGGGTCTCCCGTGGCCAAGGCGGCTCTGCAAGGCGGGGCAGGTGCTGCCCCGGGACCCCGCCCCGCGGACCCGGCGGTAGGCGCGGCCCGATCTCAAGCGGGCGGCGGACTCCGAGGGGGCAGGGGCGCGGGGCGGGGAGGGGCGGCGAGAGAAGCTCACGGGGGCATTGCCCGCCACCCGGCCGGGCAGCTCCGCTCTGTCCGCCTGCGCTGCCGGCTCCGCAGCCTTCAGGGTTCTCTGCCGCTGCCGGGTGCAAAGCCCAAGCCCTGGCTGGCGGGAGGCGAAGAGGGAGGCGGGGCCTGATGGAGGCGGGGCACGAGGCGGGAGGGGCCATGGTGGGGGCGGGGCCAACGGGCTGGGTTTTCTAGTAGTGGGCGGGGCCTAGTGGAATCCGGGGAGTCTGGGTTTGCCAGGTTGGAGGTGACCCACGCTAATAAGGCCTCGAAGGGGGCGGGGTCTAGAAGATGCCTTAAGCCTCTCCACATCCCTAGGACACTCCCACTCACACCTTCCTCTCCACCACAACCTGTTCTTTTCCATCATTTCTTTCCTTAATGGCACTACAGTACCCCTGTCCCACCCTGAACCAGATCCAGGAACCTTAGATAATGAGAGAAGAGGGAAATGACTTACAAGCATCAAATCCAATTTACAGATGGAAAAACTGAAGCCCAGAGAGAAGACTTATCCAAGTGCCTGCTACCAGGAAATAGACTTTATGGTATCCCTTTCAGCCAGAAGGTAAGGTTTAAAAGTTTCCTGCCCTGAGACCCAAGGGAACCTTCCTCCCCTTCCGTCTCTTCTAGATCAGTGTTTTCCAACTTGAGGTGATTTTGCCCTCCTTTTCCGGAAATATTTGTCAATGTCTGAAGACATCTTTGGTTTTCACAACTGGGGCTTGCTACTGGCATCTAGAGAGAAGAGACAAGGCATGCTGCTAATCATCCTCCAATGCACATGACTGCCCCACACTAAAAAATTATCAAGCCAAAATGTCAGTATGCTAAGGTCAGTATGCCTTGCTCTAGGACTTGGTGTCTGTCTAAATGAACTTCCAACTGGGCTCCCTGAGTCCTGGGCTCCTTGGCAGCCAGGGACTTGAGGAGGATGCTGTATGAAGTGTTTCCTAGGGTCATGTCTATCCATTTTGCTTAGCTGGTTAATTCCACTTCTGGGCTCCAGTGTTCTTAATTCCAATCATTTACAGAGGGATCAATATTATTAGTATTTGCCTTCCTAATTTTATGCTGGAGGCAGGCAAAACAAGCAGTGTTTCCTGCTGAGGGCATGGATTAAAATATGAATAGGGAATGGAAAGGTGTGGGGAAAGGAAAATGATTGGGATTAATTGACCCTCCTGACATAGCTAGCTGTATCTTCTACATACCCCTCACCCTATCTTATCCCTTCTCACCTGGTCTGCGAGACGGGTAAACTGAGACCCAAAAATGTGGGTAGCCCAAAGTTGGGTCCCACAGCTGGCCAGCAGTGGTGTTGGGTCTCACAATTCTACTCACTTATTAACTAAACTTTTGTTATCATCTAATCTACATCAGGCCTAGAACTAAGGCCTGTGATGTAGAAGAATTGCTCTGTAGTAGCAAGGGGGACTAGATTCGCTGGGACAAAATGGGGGCCAGGGAAGTAGCTGGGACATGGTGGAGGTGAAGAATTCAGGGAGCAGAGCCCGTGAAGATGTGAGAGAGAAGGGAGGAATTAAGATTCCTCTATGCTCCTCCCAGGCATCCCATCACAGAGACATGTAAGCGAGGGGCTCCCTTTGGATCATGGTCCCTTTGCACATCTGATAAAAACTTGCACTTTCCCTGTAGAGAAATGTGCAGGTGTACACTTTCTATTTAATTTCCGGGGCTCCAAATATTGACTTCCAGAAGAGTTGGGAGGGTAGTGGTAGAAGTTGATTCTTAAGTGCATATAGAAGAATAAGTGTGCATGAATTTTTTAAAAATCTAGGAAAAAGTAATTGACAATGATTTACTTTACCTGATATTAAACTATATTATAAAGTCAATATATTTAAAGCAGTATGATATTGGAGAAGACCTAGGCAGTGGCTCTCAACCTTCCTAATGCTGCGACCCTTAAATACAGTTCCTCATGTTGTGGTGACCCCCAACCATAACATTATTTTTGTTGTTACTTTATAACTGTAATTTTGCTACTGTTATGAATCACCATCAGAAATATGTGTTTTCCCATGGTCTTAGGCAATCCCTGTGAAAGGGTCGTTCGACCCCCAAAGGGGTCACAACCTACAGGTTGAGAACCGCTGACCTAGAGGAATTAGTGGGACAAAGTGGAGTACAGAAATGGCCAACCACAGAAGGGAGTTCCATGTATGATAAAGATGCACTTTGGGTAAATGGGGGAAAAATATAGACTTGGCAACAAATGGGTGAAATAACTGGCAAGTCATTTGGGAGAAATAAAGAAAGCTGTTTCCTGCCCTGGCCAGTTTGGCTCAGGGGTTAGAACATCGGTCTGCAGACCAGAGAGTATCGGGTTCTGTTCTGGATAAGGACATGAACCTTGGTTGCAGTTTGTCCCCGGCCCTGGTCGGGGTCGTGTGGGTGGCAAAAAGACATTCCAGGCATTGGGGCCAGTACATTCTGAAAACATGGGAGTAAGTTGAGGGGCCAGCGAGTAATTGAGTGTGGCAGGAGCATAGAGTGCAGGAGAGGGGAGTGGAAAGACACCAAACTGGGGACATAGGGATTTGAATGAACTTAGGCTGTCAGAAAGTCCTTATTAAATCTAACCACCTTCACCCTGGCCGGTTTGGCTCAGCAGTTAGAGCGTCGGCCTGCGTCGGTCCAGAGAGACCCGGGTTCAGTTTCTGCTAAGGGCATGTATCTCGGTTGCTGTTTGTCCCCGGCTCTGGATGGGTCGTGCGGGTGGCAGCCACTCGATGTGTCTCTTTCACATTGATGTTTCTCTCTCTCTCTCCCTCTCTATCCATCTCACTCTATCTGAAAAAATGGAAAAATGTCCTCGGGTGAGGATAAAAAAATAAAAAATAAATAACACCATAATGTAACGTAAGAAAACATACTCAATGTTTTAATAATCTTGGAAATGAAAGGCTTTCTAAGCATGATGAAACCTTCCAAATGGAAAACATTAATAAATTTGACTATAAAGCCCTGGCCAGTTTGGCTCAGCGGTTGGAGCGTTGCCAGTGAACCTGAGTCTAGGTTCGATTCCCGTCAAGGGCACGTACCTTGGTTGCGGTTTGGTCCCAGCCCTGGTTGGGGTCGTGCGGGAGACAACCAATGGATGTGTCTCTTTCACATAGATGTTTCTCTCTCTGTGTCTGTCTCCCTCCCACTCTATCTGAAGATAAATGGAAAAATATCCTTCGGTGAGGATTAAAAAAAAGAAGGTTTAACTATAAAATTTATATAGATAAGAAGTGATCATACTCAAGTTTGAAAGACAAATGACAATCCTGGAGGGTATAAATCCCAGTTGACCTCTGCTCTTGCCCCCTCAGACCCACCAGTCCCTCCCCCAAACCAAGAGGGGGTCAAGCTGGAGGGACGGCTGTGAGGATTGAGGCCGAGCACATATCTGAGGCTTGTCCCGGGCACCCTGGCCAGTGCCCACCTGTTCAGGGGCCGGGAAGTCCCGGAAATCCCCACCAGGCCATCTGGGTCCACAGCAGGTGCTTTAGCACAGCGGAGCCAGAGTCCTCCCCGAGGCTGCTCGCCACTTCTCTCGTGTGGCCATCCTGGGAACTGCAGCCCGCCGTTCCAGCTCATGCAGCTCTCCGGCGTTAAGGCGGGAATTTTTTTCCTTAAATAACATTTAAAATTTCGAGGGAGCGAACAATGTTCTAGGCACTGTGCAAACTCTTAACATAGAGTATTTCATTTGATTCTCAAAACAACTCTGCTAGGCGGGCCCACTGTATTATCATGTCCATTTGACACGAGGAAACAGGATTTGAAAAAAGTGACTTGTCCAATCTCTAGTGGTGGCCTCAGGATTCCATGTCTGACTCCTGGACCCTTTCGTAATGTAAGAAAGCCAAGCCTTTGGGGGAATTCAAGAAAAAGTGTTTTGAGGTTAATCTTGGTCCAGACTTTGTCTCAGTTTCTGGGAATCCATTCAGAAGACAGAGAAACAGCCATTAGGCAACACAGGTAGAGAGAAACATTTCTTTTTTTTTTTTTTTATCCTCACCTGAGGACATTTTTCCATTTTTTGTACAGATAGAGTGGGAGGGAGAGAGAGGAAGAGATAGAAAGAGAGAAACATCGACGTGAAAGGGACACATCGAGTGGCCGCCGCCGCACGACCAACCAGGGTCGGGGACAAACTGCAACCGAGGTACGCGCCCTTAGTGGGAACCGAACCCGGGTCTCTCAGGACCGCAGGTCGACGGTCTAACCGCTGAGCCAAACCGGCCAGGGCGAGAGAAACATTTCTGATACAGTGAATCCTGGAGACAGCAGAGGACTTGTTAACCCCAGGAAGCGGTGGGGGCAGTGGGGCGAATTCCAGAGGTGTCCTTGAAGCTGGGTCTTGTGGGGTTTGAGGGAGGGGTGAAAGAGTGGACTAAACTCACAAGCCTGGGAGGAGGAGGGGGTGTCAGGGAGGAGAGGTGTTCTAGGTGCCCTACGGTCCTCTGGAGCAAGTTGGAGATGACACTGGCCAAGTACACCAGGACTAAATTAGAGTTTGGGCCCAGAGGAATCTGAGCATAGGTTCTGAGAACTTTTCCATGTTTCAGTTCACTTGGTTTAGGGGCCACCTGTGCTGCCAACCCAACCTTCCTCTTTCCTTCCAGATGCTCCCCACTTGAGTTCAAGGTACCAGCTGCCTAAGCCAGAATCCTGGGAGTCGCCTTGACTCCTCCCTTGTTCTCACTGCTATCCTGTTAATTGTCAGGGTCTGCCCAGTCTACCTCCTAAATATTCCCCAGTTTCATTTACTGCTCTCCATCCCCATGGCCACTCGCCCATCCAGATTGCCCTCCTGAACCCA